GGGGGGGGATGGTGAGGGGGGGGGGGGGGGAAGTGATTCCAACAACAGAGGCTTGACCAAGCAACAGGTGGACCCTAACAGACTGGGTTGGCCCTCGAGGGAGGCTGGCCTGACTTGGAGCCCGAGTTTTGGATGATATCAGCGCGCTACAGTGCCGCCCATAGCCAGCATCCACGTGGCGTCATCTGGGCTCTCAGATCGAATTTTTTCCTCCAATCTAATAGAAATGAATTTTTGTGCAATAAAATAATGAAAAATATTATATATATTTTTTTTAATACCCAAAAATTAATGAATTTTTTTTCTATAAATACCAACCAATACTCTTTACTTTTTAACACCAAATCCTCATACATTTTCGTCTCTTTCAACTATTATTCACTTTCTATTTAATATTTTTTTCACTTTCAAGTTTTATTTTTTCAAAATCTTATCTGAAATTTTTTTCCGATTATGATATATGAATTTTATAATAAAGATTGACATGTAGGAACCCAAAAATCTAATCCAAAAATGTTATCCAAATTAATTGTTTAGGTAAAAAAATTTGTGAAAAAAACAAAAAAATAAATAGTAATTACCCTTAGCCATGGCAACGGTTGGAAACACAAAATACTATTTGCAAGGGCTGACACTATTGACGTGAATAGTGGCTGCCCTAGCTCCCCCCTTGCCATGGCTAAGGGCAAATGGGTGGAGTTACTCTAAAACCAAAGAAAGATTTCACATTGTACTTTACATGAATAGACGCGTGCCATAGCCACTATAACAAGGATTTCATAATGTTATTATTTTGGACCTTGGGCACCACTGAAGACTACTAAGAGAACAAAATTTCATATGATGCTGCCAGCCTCTCTTTGGTATGCACCCAACTCCAATTGATTATGGAGACATCTTGGTTTTTGCGGTGGGACTTCACATATTCTACCAGCTGCCTAATTGGCTCTGGACTTTGGAACTCTGAGAGGATCTACCGCCCTTGTCTTTGTAGGTATTTCTGGAGGCAAGATTCTTCCGTCTTCCACGAGCTGCTGTTACGGCACGTCGTCTCACCTTGCTCAAGCGCTTTTCCAGCTCCGCATCATTGTCATTTGCAGCCTCATCATCTCCCTCCTGTGGAAACAAAACTACTATGAGGGCTTCCATTTTGTTGAAGTGCTCGTGTCGAATGACAGCACAAGGGAGGGGAGTCAAACAAAGGATAAAGTATCCTGCTACAGGCCACTCCACATCTAACCCCAGTACCAAAAGGGAAGACAACTGCTATTAGAGCTGCATTATGGATCCACAAGCTCTTTACCCTCAAGGTTCTAAACAATTGACAGCAACTCCAAGGCCTAGATAAATCCTAACTTCAAGTCCGTGTCGGAAGCACAATATAAACACAATTTCAAGACCTACCTTGTCACTCACATCTTGAGATTCAGGTTTACTGCTTGGACCTACTTCACAGTTTCTTAGATTGTTCTCTACTCCTTCCTCTTCATGCTTTAAATTTAAAGTCTGACCCTGATGAATTACAACAAAATGTAAGTACCAAGTTACAATGTATGATGCAAGAATGCATACACTATAGACACACACAATATGATTAAGCCGGATTAAGAACATAATCACCCAAATAAAAAACCCTTCTTTTTTCCCTGAACAGCCTATCTGATGTCTCGCCGAGTAAGAGAAAATTGTACGAGTCAAAGACATTTTTTTGTTACAGCCCAATTTGTTCTTATTAGACAAACACAACATGCTTCCTTTTTACTAGGCAAATATATCATCAGTTATGATTTCACTAATCTTTATTTTGTACTCAGATTTTGACTCAGATCATTTCTATTTCTTGATGACGTCAATAGCAAGTGAAAAATGTACCTGATCTAGCAAATGCAATGAATCAACACCCTTTATGTTCGCTTCATTTAACACAGAGATGTGTGTGGCATCTTCGGAATCTTCATCATCAGAACTAGCATCCTCCTCAGAGATGTGCGTGCCATCTCCAATACCTTCATCATCAGAACTAGCATCCTTCTCCAGACCTCCTTCAATGAACTGCATGCGACAATGAGATATTGAAAAACATTATTATAGTCATAGATGTCTAGTATATGACAAGCAAACAAAAAAAGCATATTTCGTTAAATGAAATTGATCACAAACAGTGGAGTATACTCTCGATATCCAAATGAAATATTTTTCCAAAAGAAGGGGACATATTCCATGCAAAAGTTAAAAAAAAAAAATCTAATATGGTGTGTGTTTTAAGCAGCAGGAGACTATAAAGGATACCCAACAGGCTACGCTATTCAATGATAGAACTATATGGATATGGCTCCACAAACACACATGGAGGATATGGCAATTGAATCTACCATGCTTCACGACAATATAATACCTTCTCAACAACTTCCTGATCCTTCTTAGTAAACCCACTAGCAGCAAGTTCCTTGTCCAGAAAAACAGCATCCTTGGCTATTGAAGAAAAACAAGGCCTACCACCTCCATCTGTGTCTACCTCTGTTCCATCAATATCATCTGTGCATTCTTGAAAAGACATGTTGAACCTGAGAGAAAGAGAGAGTCATTCCCCAGACACAATACCCAAACTCGGGTTATATAGGATAAACGAAAAAGTAAGAAGCCAATGCCATATACTAATTATCTATAAATAAAATATGATGAAATAAGAGATAATAAATAAAGGCTTAATTAGTTTTTCAACATTTACTAAATATTTCACAATTCAGTGCATAGTATTCTTCAATGTATTGTTTTAGATTCACTGTATATTATTAAGAAGATGGTGAAAAATATCATACTGTATATTATTAATAAGATGGTGACAAATATCATATGTATGCATTCCATCAACCAAGGTTTGTGAGCCTTGAATTTAATAAGCATTCAGAAAGTGAAAAGCGATTGCAGATGACTTAAAGATTAATACTAGTTGATACGAAAAAAGAACGCTAACCTCTTTCTGAAAAACTTAAATACACATTCAACATCACGGTCAAAGTACCTGAAACATGGAAACGTCATAAAAATGAGAATATGATATTTGATTAACAAAATTTTCGGGAAAGAAAACAAATGAAATCACTTCAGCAATCAGACGTTACAATAAACAGAACGGAAAAATGGCTGAAATTTTTAAGCAGCAGTTCTTACATCTGTGCATTATGATGTGATACAGATACCATTTGTGGAAAATCAATCATGGTGACCTTCTCGTCGTCATCAATCTAAAAGAACCGAAATTGAAAAATAAATACAAGTTTACCAATGAGTTGAAGGAGCAAGCTCATAAGGCATTTGAAGTGCATATGTTAATTGAAATATTAAAACAATCATACAGAAAAACTGTACCAAGTGAGAGCAGAGGAAAACACAATGACAAGATTATGAAACATAATGCAATTAGGAAGTTGCAATGATGTAATATCAGACTGCCTGAAATGCTTACCATGATGTTAAATTCATTGAAGTCACAGTGAATTAAACCATGTTCGGCAAGGCGAACAACAAGTCCAATGATTGTTTCAAAAACCACCTCTGGATTTTGCAATTGCTTCACCTGCACGCTGCATTGGACAGAAGTGAATTCCATAGCTCCATGAAGCAGCATGATCATCTATTTATTTCTAATCTTCTTTTTCTTACGCAAGTCAGCTCCAAAAGAAATGAACAAGGAAGGCATTATGGCTGCTAATATCATTCCGTAACATGCCATTTCCAGGGTTTCTCATTAAATTATTTCAAACAGTAATTTTGCGAAGATGAAGCTTACAATGGGTAGCCTTGTACTAGTGACATAATGACACAATGCCTGTTACAATCCACAGCATTAGGAACAGGAAAACCATGCTCTTCTAAGGCCTGCCCAAGGAGAAGGAAAGGGTAAAGACAAAATCAAGATGATAAACACAATAGGCAACACACAAAGATAAGAATGCCAAAAGCTAGAGGCAAACCTTCATAAAAGCAAATTCTTTGAGTGCAGCAAGGCGGGACAAGTAGAGCCAACTAAAACTGCTACGATGTTTTAAGTAATCACGCTTCGATTTAACAGCTCTGAAAGAAACTCTACCAAGTCTGTGTAACTTCATTGCCATCACGGTACCATCTTCCGTGGCCACCTCAAAGATATCTTTTTAAAAACAAAAATGAACTTCTATGAAGAATAATGACAATGGATAATAATAGGATTGGTCGGCATAGGCACAAGCATGTGTTATATACAACAAAAAGGAAAAGAACATA